GCAATATGACCAAGTTGCGAAAACAAGGTCAAACAATTTCTTTTTTTTCTACAAGTGGCTTAATTTTCGCTGACAAATTTCCAGACTTTACATCCATTCCAGCTAGAATAGTGATTTATATTACCAATAATATTACAAATACGCTTAATGTTGAGTTTTGAGAAGACTGTGACTTAATCTAGGATTACACCATCGTCGTCCTCATATCTATTATAAATATACCTAAGCCTAATTTTGTTATTTAAATAGTCATTTAATTTAATTTCCACATTTCCGGCATTAACGTTGAGCATCACTGTGAGATGCGTGACTTTCGAGCATCTAGCATAATGGGTTCCGCAATAGGAATACTTTGGAGGATTTTTCTTTGTCTTTGTGGAAATTAAACCCTCAAATACTTGATGAAATGTAACGTGGCATTTTTGACGTCGTTATTTTATGCCGTTCTGTGAAGGATTAACCATTAAGACAATAACCACACATACCGATGGCACTTGTTCAACATCCTCAGATGAAAAAGGCTGGCATTCTTTTTATAATAAATCAAGACTTTTGCATCAGCCTTCGTCATTTATTTCCTCAGTTGCTTATTAAGCTTATAAGATTGGTATTCGTTTATTTTAGAGAAGGACGCTTAGGCAAAGAGATATTTTATCTTCTTTCTCCCAGACAAGATTACTTTACTGGATTTCTCCAAGTCTAGCACCACTTATGAAATGAGTTTTTGTCTAGATTTTTAGCCAACATTCCTCGACCTACTCGAATGTCTTCACAAGCCTTGCTATTCATCCTTCAAAACATGAGGGCCATTAGTTATCAAACTGCTTTCCGATTTCCTGGATCCTCGGTCCATTAATACATTTCGCCTGTACTCTCTTATGCATTTTTGCAGCTTTGGCCAGAACCGGAGAACTTGATGCTTCAATACTTTTTGATGCTTCTGTTTCGTGGTTGTAGCAGCGAATTCGTGGCAAATATCAAATAAGCTACAAGTCTCTCTTATCTGTAGGATGGATCTCTCTGTTACCCGTTTATTCAATCTTCTCACCTCCCTTCATATATATATATATATATATATATATATATATATATTTTTCTGCAAATGTATTACAGAAGAATAATGAACTTCGGAGACTGACCATATACAAGACCTGAAAAACCAACTAGCAACCAGACATGCTGGACAAAACGGGAAGAGTGTAGAAAGCTTGACAATTAATGCTTCTTCACTACAGTATTTGGTGCGTTGCCTCCTGAAAAAAACCTTACTTTAGTTCTCTCTAGGCCTAAGGATTGCTACAGAAATAGATCTCACAGCCAGCTTCATCGGGACGTTTTCCGATGACTAATTTCATACAATACTGGAGACTACTATGATTCAATTGAGAAGGAACAGGTCGAACTAACTAGACACTGTAAACTTTTGGCGAAGACAGGAAAGATAATTTTAGTAGATAAAAAAGTTTGCAGAGGAATCTTCTCTCTCTTCTGGGGACCTATCATTAACTTCTTTCATTGTCTGAGTGAATCAAAAGTGTAGATCTGATTCGTGGAACTTGCGCCTACGGGTTATCAACTCTGGGAATGGAATACTCTAAATCCCCTAAGTCGAAGGGAAATTAATGCAGTTAAATGGCCATTTGGTTGATTGACTGCATATCCATACAGACCTGTGGAGAGCAGAGCTGAACTTGAGTGAAGTGGTTATATCGAGACCACTCTTAAGTCCTTTTCAATATTTTACCCTCTTGTTGCGTCGCTAAGTGCTATGATATCCAACCCCAATGAGATATTGATGTAGCCGCGTGATGATGAAGATGAACATAGTGTCTGTTTCAAAATCCTGCCGA